CTTCTCGAGGAGGGGTTTGTTAGTTGGCCTCGGTTTCTCTGACTTCAGTTCGCCACAATTGTTGTTTTCTTGGCATCTGCTGTGACGTTCTAAATGCAGCTGCAAAGTCGCTAACAGCAGATAGACCAAAACGCGCGTCTAACAGGCCAGACCTCTAGATTCTTCCTCGGAATGCAAGAACACACAGTAACCTCGTTGGCATCTAGTTTAACACGTACCCTCGAGATTACATTTAATACGTCCACGCGTTGTGTTTCAATATTGTACAATCGACCCTTTCCCCGTCTTTTGTTTCAGACAGCAGCATCTGTGGCCCGCTTCTCGTTGGATTCACGCTGTTGTCATTATGTAAGCCTTCAACGAGAAGCAGGCGTGGCTTCTTCCATGGGGAGCAAGAAAAAATTATACAGCGTATGAGATAAACAGTCACACCCAAAAATAGATCCCACCATTTAGGTTCTTTTAGTGTTAGCTTGGCAAACGTGTATAACCCTGAGCTGAAAGTATAGAACAAAAAAAAATCAAAAAGTTCTGAAGCCAACGTTGGCCACTTACTGATCTACACTATAAGAAGTATAAAAATACAAGCTGGTAGTTGAAGATTTCTGTCTTCTGGGTTGTTGCGCTGTGTAGTCTGGGCGATGTTTACCAACGTTTCAGAGGTCATACTGCCTCCGTCATCAGGGCGATGAGTATGAAGATTTCTGTCTTCTGGGTTGTTGCGCTGTGTAGTCTGGGCGATGTTTACCAACGTTTCAGAGGTCATACTGCAACCCAGAAGACAGAAATCTTCATACTCACCGCTGTAAAAACCTCAAATCATACAAGCTGTCGTCGTCTTTAGAGACTACGCACAACTGTTAGTCCATCGAGCACATTTCTTTCAGCATCTCAGGGTCCATAATGCCTTATTGCTTTCAATTACAATTCAAAATACAGCTATTGAAATGTGCAAAAATTATGCTTGAATTTTACCTGGAAACACATCAGTGACAATACATGTAGGGGGGGGGGGGGATTTACCAAAATGCATCCATTTAATAATAACATTTTATATATTTCACCCACTAACAAATCGCGTAATAAAACGCGTTAAGTGCAATATAATGTGCCAAAACATGTCGCCCATGTACGAAAAAATTGCTTATAATAAAGTAAGCTTAGGTTTAGTAAACATTGCGCCCTTTTATCCCTGTTCGATGTAACAGCAGAAACAAATTTGGAACTGGCATCGGTTCCTTGAAACTAGGAGATCCGCGGCATCCCCCAACGAAGTTCCGAAACGTCGCGCATTTAAAATATCCGTCAGACAACTGATAATATCCAACATTATCGCCATTCAATTCCGTGAAGCAAGTGTCCACTTTCTTTGAACTTTTTCTACTCTTGCCCATTCACGAATAACGAGATGTTAAATGTTAACCGTTAACTGAGGAATGTTTCACTGTTTGGTTTGAAGCTGCCTCTTCCCGCCTTGTTAACAACACGCTACTCTGTCCCTTCCTTCAAACAATCCAGCCTCTGTCCTCTTCTGCAGTATACTGAGCATATTTATATTTTTTGTTTCATGATGACATCACTATTGATGAACTCTGAGGTCAAACTGTGGGAGGAAGATACGAGGGGGCATAGAAGATAAGTAAGCTGAGCAATAAATAGTTGTGAAGCAGAATGGTGTAGTTAAAGCTGAGACCTCTGATCCGAGAGCAGTCACACCCTCGCCGGACTTTCTTAAAAACCCCCGGTGAACGCTAAACCACGGCGCGCGAAGTTTAGACCCTGTGAGGAGCACCAAAGTATTCCTGTTATTTTATTGAACAGTTACCTTTAAAAAAAATGTTTCGAGTTCCATAAAAGACAAGAAATCTGTCGAACATCAGAGCAACTATCAGCTTGCCAATGAGAACTTTGCGCCATAGAATCAGGAATAGGTAATTTAGCTGATTTGCCCCGGCAACAAGAAACAATTTTTTCTCCATTTTCATTTAATGACGGAGACCGCCGAGGCTGTTTCGAACTCCGTAGGTAATTTAATGACATTGTTTCAACTGCAACTATTTGAATTTCAGTTAATATAAATATGACATTTGACTTCATACATTTTTATTATGCTGTACTTTTGATAGGCATATCGTATATCTCCGCGTTCAACAACATTCTCGACATTAATTTTGACAAACAACGTGCTAGAAACCACCGAGGGGCCGCGGTATTTTAATATCTGTTGTTCAGGCCGTACGCTGTTGATCCTTGCCCAGCTTTTTTAATCTAGATTGAGCACTGGGTGGTCGTGATTCGGAACATAAATTCTCCAGGAGGATACACACTTATGTTACTCAAGTAATTTTACAGCAAGATACAAAGAATTCATTTTCAAAGGACTATAAGCTGTGATACGTAAATAAACGAACGTAAGTCTGTATTCTTTTCAACCTGTTGCTTTATAACAGAAACAAAACAACAATAAATAATTACGTGTACATCTAAACAAAATAAATTGCAATATCTTATGTAATACATTTCTCTCGCAGAATACTTGCCACTGAACTTCACAGATAACTGTTAGTTAAAAACTGCAGAGATTCAAAGGGAACGTGTACTTAAGCGATACACAGAGAAAGGAATGTATGATTTTATTAAATGACTTACCATTAATCTTGTTAGCATTATCATTAGCTAGCACATTCATACATGTACAAACATCCATTCTGACTTGAGGCATAACATTCCATAACTGAAACATTCTGCAAAAAGGAGCAAACACTGCTCTGTTTATTTATCTGCAGACTCCCTCTACAATGCATCTTATGTTTGAGATTCTGAACATAATGAGACGAAACTCCTTGGAAAATGCTACACTTAAACAAAAAACGTACGATTATTGTTGGCATGCTAACTAAATTGACTCCATGAGGCAGAGTCCTTCAGAAGCTAACAATGCGTTCAGCTAACCAAGAAAATTTCCGTATTTTAAAAAACCCGATGGTTGTCTACCGTGTTGACAAAACTGTCCCTGTGGTATCTTCCATTCAGGTATTCTGACTGTAATACTGACAAATCTACATATACACAGACGTACGACGTACAAAATTACGTAACATGCACGCTAATATATACATAAGCACAAGAACAGATGCATAGACGAATGAGTCTGTTAATTGCACTGTGATGTGCAAGAATAGTTTTCAGTTTTCGAAGAACAAAAATTGGAAACTGATTGTTGCAGGCATGAGAACCGAAATGGAGGGTCTGCACCCTCACACGGAATGTTGCGTTCCGTTCCGGACTGTGGGAGGCATTGCCCACGACAAGGCCGTGATTAGAAGAAACTCCCGCTGGTACAGGCTGTTCCGAAAATAGGCAACAGACCGGGCGGATGCAAGTTCGGGACTTCCCCTTCACCCACCCAGAAATCACAAAACTTCTCCACGATTAAGAACAATTTCTCAACGCTGTTTAGAGAAATAATCGCAGCTTAATCTGAGAATTATAGAAAACCGATTAACACAAAATGCAATTACGACTATTAAAGCAGTTGGAACATACAATTAACACTGGTCTTTGAGGGTTAACTTGGGTCTGCATCATGTCGGAAGCCTGTAATCCTCACATATACAGCCGAAGAGGGGGAGAAAGGTGAAGACAAGTGGAAAGGATGCGCCTGGTTTCGAACCACTAGTAGACTACAAAATCCCCTTTAAAAATCTCCTGCTTATTTAATTTTCGTACTTCCTTCTTCGTCTTACAAATATAAGCGGTACTTCGTGTCTCATAGATATTCCTTTGTCTTCTTTCTGTCTCTGATTCTTTCTGCAAGGTTTAGCAAACAATTTTTGTGAAAATAATGCACTTAAACAGGACAGAACAGGATGGTGCCGGCATATACGTGCGTACATAAAGGACTCCTTCAATTCAGATTGTAGAACAGTTTCTTTGTAATCGCAATTCAGATATAATTTAAGATTCGGAAGAAGGAAATGACTGTTTCGTTGCCAAATTAACCGTACGCTAAGATACACGTACATACAGCCTGTAAAAGGAGGGTAAAAATTCCAGATGGTGGTTTCTTTTCAATGCAATATCCTGAAACATAATTTTCATACTATATTTTAAACGCATTAGTGTACAATGAGATGTCATATTATTCAAACCATTAGACCCTACACAGGAAGGAACTACACAAAGTTCATAACCTCAACCTGTCAGGTCAACTGTGCAATGTTATATAGGCCTATATTTGTAATGTAATTATTATTCTCCTCAAAGTGGTAATAATTTGGTCCGGATGATATATGCCCCCACCCAGGCATTATCCCCACCACTCTTCAAAATGTGGTTATGTACAAAAAATATAAAAATATATCTCGTGACCACATAAAAAATTCCTTTACTTTACCTCTTATTCCACCCCAAACCGACCTTTTTCAGGTATAAGTGAATTTCTGTTACTCAAATGTCCAGAAGGGGGGAAAAATCATAGATACTAGTACATTTCGAATTAGAAGCGGTGTATTACACCTACCAGTCCTCTGGCCCTAATTAGGATAAATACTTAGTTGTCATGGAAATGTTTCTGTTCATGCAATGTCTTTATAGGTCCCTTACTTCGCAACTCCGTTGCCAAACTGCGTTTATCTCTGTTCAGACCCTCGGTTCATATACAGGTACAGTTGCGTCTGGTGCGTATTTTAGCACAAAGCCATGGCCATTTTATCTTCAGGGAAGAACCACTCTCTACTGGTCTCAGAGTCAATACAATGCCGTGTGAACTGTGACACCATGTAGCAAAACACATTAGAAGTATCCTGATGAAGGCAGCATCCACTCGTTTTGCTATGTAACAGTGCCACTTGATTTTATTCCAAGCGCCAGTCAATTTGTTTCTGAGTTTGCACCATAAGCGTTTAACGGCAGCACTCGACTGAGGACAAAGAGGAAAACAGGTTAAGAAGCTAATGACAGACGCACTGCAGGCATCCTGGAAAGATACGACGTCGTGGTTATTTCCGTACTGAGGATGTTTCAAAGACACGACTTTTACTACAACCTCACATCTCACAGCAAACGTACATCGTATTTCTTTGTGTGGCTTGTTGGATGGAGATGCGTAGATGGACAAGTGGGTGACTGACTGGACATGTAGCTAGTTCCTTACGCACGAAGTTGTGCGTGTGGTCGTAAAGGGCGAACGGTGTTCGGAAAATGTATGGACCTGCTCCAGAACGGAGGACAAACTTCGACTCCTGTTATCCCCTACAACACGTATCCACTACTCATCAGTTACAGTTAACAGAATTCTTTAATACTTCCAACAGAAATATTCTTAACTAAGCTGATTCTGATGCGGTCCCCATCATGAAATAACTTAGAGGCATTTCAGAAATATTGCTTTGAAAAATTATCTTCATGCTGAATTCCAGGAAATTTATTATCTATAATTTAAATAAAAGAATAAAAACACATTAAACGGACTTTTTATGAGCTTAACATGTATATCAAGATTTCACCGAAGTAAAAATTCAAGAATCATGAAGAAGACTGTCTTCTGGGATGTTGAGACGTATAGTCTGGTAGAAGTGTACTAACGTTTCAGAAGTGCTCGCTGCCTCCATCGTCAGGGCGATGAATACACATCTTCATACTCGCTGCCGTGTAACTGAATTATCGTCACTCAAAAATTATGTCACAAAGAGAAGAAAATCGGAAGGGAAATATGGAACTATAAGGGAAAACGGCGTAAAATCTGAGGATCTCACAGCGGTGAAGGTGTCATCTTCACTGAAGATGGAGGCTGTACGATCCTCCGAAACGTCGGTATCTACCAAGTCCTCACGGTGTTAGAACAGAGTACAACATCCCAATACGAGGCAAACTCTTCAAATCTCAAGTCAGCAGGTCGAGCGACAGAGCAAACGCATGACTACAGAACTTAAAACTAGTTGGTAGACAGAGGCAAGCAGGTCTACCCTGGGTCACTGTTTCCTGACTGTTGGGGGTATTTTGCACGTGCGTGTGTGCGACCTTCAACTATTAATAATTTTCCAGACATCTGTGGGGTTTCCAATAAAGGTAGAAAAAGGCATTATAGAATTGCAGGTTATTCCATACAGTTTCATACCATCAGGAAGTACTATAAACATGGCAGGCGTGCGAAAAGTTGAGACGGGACAGACAACATCGACAACTAATTTCGAATCCTGAGAAACTGTGTGGCAACTATCATCATCTGTGTCTGTACAACCCAGTGTGGGTCTTGGCCGCCTCTTCTAATCTATTTAGACATTTGGTAGGATTCCTTGGACGAGTGATCAGCCCGACTGTGTGACAATAGATCTTGGAAATGCATATAGTGTAATAAACGTTTGTTGGAATCATTTTTGTGGAACGTTAAAAAAGCACCACAGAATTTATATTTACCTTTTGGTTTGATAGCAACGTATAGCGAAACTTTAGAGCTAGGAATGTGAAACGTGATGAACAACAATATCGTACCTCTTGTTAAAGATTCACAAATGTGGAGACGATTACATCTTAAAACTTTATCGAAATGAAAGTGAGCATATACCATCTGAGGGCGGAAAGGGTTAAAACACGACATAACAACTTGTCGATGGACAAATGATTATGAACAATAAATTTGAAAGGCTGTGATAAATAAAGCGTATGGCTGTATAATTGAAGGTGTATTCCTGTGAAAATTGCTTACACGTGGCCTTTATTGAATACAGATAGCAGTGCACTGAGTCACCTTTGTAAAGGAAATTAAATAGCCCAGACAGTTACAAACTTTGAATTCTTTTAACCTGAGTTGTACCTTGTAAGATGACACATTTCCTGTTCAACTCAAACTTATGTAATACTCGAGGACGCCTTGTTCAAGCAAAGTTATTGACAACGAATGCGCCAGCTTATAAAAGCATTCACATACCTAATTACGCAAACATTAACATCACATCTTACACACATAATCCTGTATGCACAGTTCCAGAGAATTTCTTTTCGGGCTACTTTTTACAAAAGAGCAACGTGATCTGAAATATTACATACACAGATCACAGAAACATGAAAATCCTGCTTTATACGGAACACGCCTATGTAACACTTTGCAAACATGAAATGTCGACACCCTCCCTAGCTCATGTCTTCAAACCACACACATATTTACTGATATTCATATACAACTGTACCCAACCTTACTGACCTTGAGAAACAACAAAAGTTATAATAGATTATTCATACTGCAAACACATACACACATGTGTCCACATACTTTGTTACCCCTCCCCTCCCTCCTGCAGTTTTTTATACCTGTATTACCATACAATACTTACTTATTACGAATCCTGTGGTGTTCACACACACATCTAATTCCCAGTGCCTTCAAACACCACGCGCACAACTCACCTGGTGGACAGATAAGTTAAGTTACTCAGCAGATAAGTGATTTAAGGGCGGTCCAATTACAGCCCTACACCTCCCTAATTAAAGCTTAGTAAGGGTCATCAAAGACCCATACAGACAATACATTATCATTAAATCAGAGGCTTTTCACATCATCAATTTTTGTTCTGTCTGGTTTGTAACGCGATATCTCCTGTACTTCGGAGGTTCTGATCGTGGTAAGCGCACCATATGGCTCTAAGCAGTACCAAGCCTACAGGTTATAACTTTTCTTATTCACCAAAATGTGTCACCGTCGTCTCACATCACAATGTCGTAGTAGATCATGAATGTCTTGTGCGGATGTAGGAGGCAGGCTCCTTATATGGAGAGTAGTTATGAATATGTTGAATACACAGCTGACAGTCGACAACAAATGGTCCTCTAACTTGGGGTTAGGCGTGGAACAAACAACTCCTCACACTTCAAACTTGTGAAATTCAACAGTGGACATCGGGCATGGACGAAATATCTTGACACGGACTGAACTAGTTCACGACAGGAAAAGTGACTGTCTTCTGTGGACACGACAATAAATCCTTTGCTTACATAAAACCAGGAACATTATTGATCATCTATCAGCTTCCTAAGACTGACACTAGTCCTATATGTGCATTAACACAGACGTACACAGTTAATTTTACAGACCAAAGGGTGTGTCAACATATTTTCCAATCACTGGAAGGTGGAAAACACCATCAAAAAATTATCGCTCAACCATTTCAGTACGATGGAAACCATGTTCTAATATCTCAATATGACTGGTTCATATACCCGCAAACGAAAGTTAATTTGATTTGTTATTCACTCATTTAATGCCACTTTATTATTTACATACCCTAGAGATTAACAGAGTCGAACGAGGGGATCGTGACAGATGAACTGGAAGCGGTCGTGGACTACTTAATCTTATTATTCCGGTCTTTGCCTTGATTTGATCAGCGTGGTCCGACACGTAATTTTTCGATGTCCCGTTTTATTTTATAGTTTATTTTACATTACCCTTATTTCTTATCAGACGTTTTCATTTAGAGTGTAAGCCTACTGAGTTCAAAAAGCGACCTCGGTCTTTATGCCAAGCGTCGCCGCACAACGGTCAACTGTTGTGATCAGGCACATTCAAAAGGAGAAGCCTTTCTGAATCTTTCTTTGTCACACAGTTTACAAGGAATCACAGTCACGATACTGACTAACCTCGAAAGTGATTAATGGCAATTAGTCATTCCTCACTAAATGCGCAGGCGTAGATGATACATGATACAACATTTTAGCAGAATTTAAGTCCCCCTCCCAGGAAAGGAACATGCTGTCTACATCTTCAGAGGTGACTTGAATCATGAAGATGGAGACAGCATATCCCTATAAAACGTTTGTATGCAACCAGAAAACTACAAGGACTAAACAACCCAGAAGACCACACTGTAAACTCACACCGAAGTGGAAAACTCCATTCTTAACTTGCAGAATTAGATATTCGGCCGTTTCGAATCTTACATTTCTCGTCATCGAATCCAAGTAAAATCTAATAAATAACGTGACTGCAAGTTTCATAACACGGGATGTTTTGCACATTACTTCCTTAGTTTTATGTGCTCAGGAGACGACGACAACAACACCACCAACAACAACAACAAACTGAAGCAGAAAATTGTCCCCTAATTTGCGATGTTAGGGTAAATAGCCTCTACATGGCTGGGTGACTTCAATTCGGACTAACTGGCCAACAGCAAGCAATTCTTTCTGCCGCCACGCAACGAGGCATGACTCAACTGGACGGAGCATTGTTCTTCTCAGCACAAAGTGATTTGGGTGTGCGGAAGTATCCTTTACAAACACAGGAAAATTAAGTAGTTTTTGAGGTTTACACGGCGATGAGTCCAAAGATCGCCGTCTTTTGGGTTGTAGCGCCGTGTAGTCTGGTAGCCCTGATGATGGAGGCAGCAAGGATGTCTGAAACGTTGGTAAACTTCTACCAGACTACACGGCGCTACAACCCAGAAGACAGCCACCCTCTGGAAAATTGTCCAAAAAATTTAAGATGAATTGTTTGTTGTTTCATTAACTAGAATGAGTTTAAGAGACACGAAAGTCAAGAACGTTGTCCGTTCATGGCAGAGGTCAGCAATTTTCTTCAGTCACTGAGGGAGGAAGTATCAAATAAAGCCAGTTTACTAACGATGATCAAACCATCATTCAGATATCGCAGGAAGACATAAAGAAGTCCTTCAATGACTTTTAACACTTTGATGAACCATTAAATATTTAGACATCGATAAATAAATCAGGATAAGTTGTTTCTAAAGGGATGTAATCAATACAGACCGAAATAGTTTTTTTATTCGAAGAAATAATAAGTTTAATATAGCTAAATATTTATCCAACGCAGGAAATAATAAATGGCTGCGGAGTGAAATGGTTAACACGCTTAAAATAATATACAACTCACTCTCAGAACATGTTACTCATTTCAAACCGAATGAGTAAAGGAAATAACTAGGAATATTTTTAAAAAGATGGACATGAGGTAAGCCTACACGTATATACACTATGCGGTATAGAAAATCTTTCCAAGAAGAATCCGAAATGTCGCTTCCACCTCAGACGTTAACACTGGCTTCAAGTAGGTTCTATTAACAGCAAATATATCAAAGGGAACAAAGATAGGTCAGCAGGTTACCATGATGTTCCAAGACATTTCGGTAATTATTACAAAAGCCATCACAGAAAGTGGACGCTAAAAGTCACTTAGATAATTAAGTAATTTAAAAGCCCGATACTGAACTACACCCTGAATGAGATGAATGCACTCCACGCTATCATAACTTATACCTTGAGATTCACTTTAATATTATCCTCTCATATACACCTACGTCTTCCAGCTGAACTGTTCTCATCAAGTTTCAAACTAAAATGTGTCTTGTCTCTCTCATACCTCCACTATAAAAGACATAAGAAACAAAGGGTGAAATATCGGTCTGTCTCTCGCTTCTAAATTATAAAAGTAAGTAAGTAAGTAAGAAAG